CCCTACAGGCATGTATTTGAGCTTGACTTGCGAGTAAACCCCCATGGGCCGGGTTGGGGGTGTCCGTGCTTTGGATGTGTGCAGAGGATACAAGACTTTACCCAGTGTGTGCCCTCAAACATTTCCAGGTCCAGCGGATCTCCCTGAATCTTCTTGTCCAAAACGACCAGTGAATGACAGCTTGCCATGGCTCCACACACAGGTCCCCAGGGCAGAGGATTGCTGGATGGGATCTTATGGATTTTCTGAAACATGATTAAAAGCAGAAGGTTAATGGGACCGCTTATAAGAGGGATGCAGAGACACAACTCCTCAGCTAGTGCATACAGGTGCTGCTCTGCTGCATTCAGCAGAGCTGAGCCCGATAACTGCAAGCAGCACCCATCCTTCTGATTAGCAGGTCAGATGCATTCAGGAGATCAAAAAGTACCCAATATTTAATTGGCACAAGCTCAACTTGATATGAAGTAACTGAGACAGTAAAACACTCAGAGGGGCTGGCACAGACACAGGAGTCCTGCTTGGCAATTGCTGTTTGGTATTAGACAAAGCAGAGAAGACACTATCAGAGAGGAAACAACTTGCAGCAGGGATCTCAAAGAAGTTTGGCAATGTGCCCTAGGAGATTTGTGAAGCTGCAGTATGGAAAGCATCTGCCCAGGCTGGTGCTCTGCACCCACCAGGGTGGATAAGCACCATCGGCCTGCTCTCAGCACCCCTAGGAGCCACGTGGGAGAGCCACGAGCAGCCCGACCTTCACTTCCAGCTGTAGATTTGACATCTGCATAGCTGCACACACCAGATGTTTGTCCCTCAAACCTTGGTTTTAAAAAAGGTTAAATTGGTTAACTCTTATTGAGTTACACGAAGGCACACTGTCAAAGGTTCATACCCCACTTTCTTTCTGTGAAAAGCCTGGAGGCTTATTCCCTCCTTGGCCCTGCAGTACAGACTGAACACATGAGAGGCTGGGCTGGGTGAAGGCTCTATAATTTCATCATGGAAGTTATTTCTCAGAGTCCTATCTTCTCACACACACATTTTTCCCCTCTAAGAAACTGGCTGGCTGACAAGCTGCGCCTGCCAGATCACAACACAGCCCATTACTATTTAGGCTGGCATGTTAAGGAGAAATTTAAATAGGTTTTATTTACCTTTGATCACCACTAGCATCCCCTGTTACTAACACAGGCGCAGTGAAATGCATCTGGAAGCAAGCAGCGTGACAGCTCGCCGCTTTATTAAAAGGAACAATGAATCGGGGACCTGTTGTCCCTCTGGGCTATCCAAGTCTGTTCTGTTTCCAGCAAATTATACCCTCTTCTCAGCCTGGTCATAATTGCCTTATTAATTAATTAATACTTGAGAGACACTGTGAAACTGCTAAACACCACATGAAACCAACAAACATTTATATCTTATTAAATATACAATAGGATATTTTGTAAGTTGAATGAAATTCCTTAACTGTCCTTGCCTTGCAGTATTCAGCTTAGCTAACAGCTAGTCTTATAACATGTTTAAAAAAATCAACATTTAAGAAAGAATAATTATGCAAATAGGCTAATGAGATCAATGCAGTAAGCAATAGCTCCTCCTTGCGTTTTGGCAAGCCACCAGCACCGGTTCCCAGCTGGGTGCAGATTGGACATGTCTGCAAAGACAGCCTTATGTTTTGATACCTTGCAGAGGTTTTATTATGCGAATTTATTCCAATATACGGGTCCGGTTTTGTTCTGCTGTTTATGTGAGCAGACACCTGCAAGGCTACCTTGATAGAAATCATTCTGGCACTACCACGAGCTGTCTGCTGTTGGTGGGCTCCAAGCCTGTTCACCATGCACCTATTCAGTGTGGCCTCCCTGCTGCACTGGAGGGGGGCCAAGAAGAGACTGTCCTATGTGCCTGTGGTTTGGTCCCACTGGAAGAGTATTTTATTGGTTGACACTTATTAATCTCTTCTCATTAATTTGGATCACATAGTAATTTTCTCTCTGTCCTTTGAGGAAGTATTGGGAATGTGATTTTTCTCCTCTCACAATGAATTCATCCTTTCATTCATTATGGCATGATTATCTCTATGGTGTTGAAGTGTCTGATATATTCACAACTACTAATGAAACCTGGGAGTTGATTGGGGTGTGTGATTTGTCCTGGCCCCTGCAAAAGATTAATATGTTGAGTTTGGCATAACATGCACTGCAGAGCTGAAGTCTGTTATTGTATTACAGTAACACGAATTGAATAGTATCATTCTGGATATAGTCAAGTTTAATGTTTACATAGTGGTTATTTCTTGAGGATTTCAATGGTCTTTGGGCTTGGAATTGAGATGGAGCCTGCCACAGGTTTGAGGGAGTTCCTAAGGACACCTGAGCTTTGCAGGTCTGATCTGTGGTCTCATGGATTTTTTTTTTCCCCCCACAGCATTTACAGAAGGTAGGTGAGATGTGACAGGCACCAAAGTCAGCAACACTTAATTTCAACAGAAGGAGCATTATCCTAACATTTAAATGATGAAAGGTTTATTGACTAGATTAAGAATATTTATTGAACTGTGCTGAGAATCACATAATTGAAAAGCTCTGTGCATATTCTCCAAATCCCCTCAGGGTAATTAGAAACACACATGCTGCTGCTGACTTCTGTTTGCCTTGAATTAGCAGCAACCTTTACAGCTACGCCTGCCACAGCAGTGCCCAGATGCTCTCCTCAGAGGGAAGGAGCTGAGTAGGGAGCAGGGACACCCATTGCACTCTGCCTCCCCAAATGCACCCAAACATCTCTTGCTGCATGCTGTTTGCTGTCTCTGTACTCTATGCGACTGCCTCCCCCCGTAACTAGACATTTGGGCAGTACATTCATTCACACTGGAGATTAGTTCTTGCTAAATGAAATCCTTCCTTACCGGCTTCCCTCAGAAGGGATGATGCCCCGCAGGTCCAGTCCATCTTCTGTCAGCGTACCCATCTAAATTTAAATAAATATCTAGTTACCCTGCTATTGGCTACCCCTTCCTCCTGCCATGTCCCCAGAGGTCCTTCCCTGGCTCCCCAGCAGGGTAAGGAAAGCCTCCTGCCCACAGTGTGACCCTGCTGCATGGGCACCTGTAGGGGATTTTTCACTGGGGTTAGATCAGGGTAGATGGGGTCGAAAAAAATTATCCCATGTTCCTAGCAGCCCCCAGCATCTTTCAGTGCCCAAGGAAGCGCCTTACTTTGTCAAAGCAAGCAAGGTTGGTCTGCCCACAGATATTAATCCTCTGTGGGCTGATGCAGAAAGTCATCTTTTTCTTCAGCCTCCTTTGGGCATAAACAGTGCCTGTTGTCAAGGCAGCAGGGATAGCGGGAGGCACAGCCACAGTGAGGAGGAGGAGGGCCCTAGCCACCACTTCTGCCACTGGCTTCTGCGAGCAGTGAGAGCAACAGGGGTGGTGGGGTGGGAACAGCCTCCCTCCCCTGCTACTGCCACTCACGGGGAGTCCGACCATCCTGCCCTGGAGCAATGCACCCCAAGCTCTGCTCCTGGGGATAACAGATTTATTCTGCTTTGTTCTGTCCATCTCCCCCGCCCCCAATTCTGGCATCTGAAAACTGAATTACAGAAGTGAACAATATTCTAAGGATCTTGAGTGACCAAGGGCTGCAGCGCAGAGGCATCCCTTGTACTTACCTTGTGGGACACAAACACACACATGGTGTAATGAGTCCGAACACACCAATGACAGAGAGGCCTACAATGAACTTGAAGGCATCTCTGTAGAGTTTGAAGTTCACTGGCTTGGGGTAGGGGATGGATCTCACCAGGTCACCTTTAGCTGTATTCAACCCTGTGTGAAGACATATGCCATACATTGCATACGTGACACGGCGTCGTCGTACTGCATTAGTCCTGTTTGAAAACGGATAACAGTCCACAAGCCTTAGCCATCAGGTGCCAACAAGCACTTCTCAGGTACAGCAGTCCTGTGCTGGACTTTGAACTACAAAATGAAACCAGCTCTCCTACCAGCCTCTGGGGCTGCCCGTTTCCCTCTGCTGGTTAGCAACCGATAAAAGAAATACCAGTTTGCAGCACAACGGCTCTCGCTGGCCCTCTGCCTGTCGGCTTCATCTGTGTGACTTCTGTCCTGCAGAAGAGGACATGTCTCTGATAGTCTTCTATGCTGTGGGTTTTCCAGGGCATTGGACCCTCCGTGAGGGGTAAGGGGGCACAGCAGCATGGAGCTTCACTTAAAGAGGATTTAAAAGTCTATCAGATTCTGCATATTAGAAAGTGACAGCACCCTGTAGGTGCTCAAGCTTACCTGACTAATTAGCTTGCTTATATGCTTACACATGTGGATTTATGGTGACAGCCATTACAGTTCTAGTTTCAGAGTACATCAGGTGGCTTCTCTGAGCATTTTCTATCAATGGGCTTAGGTGAAATTCTGCCCCTGACCCAAGTTCATGCCTTGTAGTGGCTCAGTGTTTAGGTATAACTCTGACCCCTGTGCTCATACATTGCCTGGCTGAACAGAACTGCTGCAAGATCAGAATTCGAAAACTCAAAAAAATACATACTCAGTGTATATTTTCACTTTCTATTCCTGACAGTGTATTAATCCTACTTGTTTTTAACGTGGATAAGAAACGCATATTACACAATGGCAGTGTTCAAAAGCCCAAGACAATTGTGAATTATTCAAGCTGCAGTTTTTCCACCTCCTGCTGCAAACTATTCTAATAAATAGTAAACAATTTGCTGTCAGAAGAGATAGAGAGATCTCCCTGACAGACAATCTGCACAGGTTGTTAGCATTTCAAACTCTAAGGTTGTTAGCATTTCAACTCACTGCACCTGTGAGCATCCCTTCATTCACAATGCAGCTTCCATCAATCAGGACAGCATCACATGGGAGAGTGAGCTTTTTTCCATCTAAAAGAAACATGTCTCTGGGGACTGAGTAATGGGACTCCAGCTCTTTGCAACCTGTAGAACAATACAAAAATGAACTTTACTTGTGCACAAGTTCTGGGCAATTAAAAAGTCTCAAGGTACACACACCATCATTAAACTTCTACACTGCATGATTTAAGTCCAGAGCTTCTTCAAAATAACACTGACTGAAAAGCAACAGCACAAAGATCTGCCCTTATCAAAACATCTCCCTCCAAGTGGTTGTCTTCAGTTTTATTTGCTTAGTGTCCATAAAACACGCTGACCAAGAAAACCTATCCAAGGCCTTTACATCTCCCATCACCCTAGCAATTGCCCATCTCAACATCTTTGGTAGGCAAAAATAGCTATAACCCCTATTTTATGGGCAAGGAACTGAGACGCAGAAGAGAAAGCACATACCTCGGTGCGAGCCATGTATCTGGACTCCTTAAAAAAAAACCACTCACAAGCTATTTGGCAAAATTGTGAAAGTAGCCTATAGCAGAGCAGGGAAGCAGGTCTCAGAAGGCCAGAGTTGTTATCTAGTTGCTTGTTTGTGAAATTAAATTTTCCAAGCCATTCTCGACTCTTAACACAAATTACTAGGTTCACCTCTATCATTACAGATGCCACAGATATAAATGATAATGATACAGATACATCATTACCACACCGCATAGGCTGTGCCCACACTTCTCGCTGCCCTGCCCGGCTCACCTCCCTCTGCCCCATTCTCCCTGCAGCTCGCCCTTCACATTTCAGCTGTAGAAATCAACAGGAGCTGTGCAATTCCAGGTAACATTTCAACACGTTAGTTAATTATACAGGCTGGTGAGGGAAATGAGACACAGATGACTCACCTTCGCTCTTTGTGCAGACTGTAACCTGGACTTTGTTATGCTCCTCAACAAGGCCATGCAGTTTGGTAGACTGCTGTTGATGGGAAAGCAATTGCAGTGTTGAAACACCAATACTCAAGTGATCACGCTAACATCACAGAAACTGAACTCTGCTGAGTTATCCTGGGGAGGTTTAACATTGCTTGTTAGAAGTCAGGATGTGAGTTCATCAAGTTAACCTAGAACAAGCTGCTGTGGGAACATGGACCTAACTTTCCATTTGCTTCCAATTCATGCTGCTGTATCTCCTTCGACTTTCAAGGGGCTATTCCTGCTTCATGCCAGAGTAAGTCTCCTTAGATGCAACGTTGCTATCTGCAGTCCCTTCTTAGAGAGCTTCTTTATGCTCACCAGTTTTATCCTTGCTAAGAGGCTATCAACTGGACAACCAAGTTGTAAAGACTATCATTACAAAACTGCCTTTGCAAGAAGAAAAACAGAAATTCTAATTTAGCTGGGTGTCTGTGCTTTGCCAGTTTTTGCAATCTAATTCAGACAATTACATATCCTGAGATAATGATGAAGTCAACTGTCATTGCAAGACCATTAGAGAGAATGCCTTATCTTGATTTCAAAGTTGCAATTGCAAAAAGTGATCCCCGAGTGTGGATTTCTTCACTAGCATTGTTCATGTGAAGATATAGAGCCAGTTTGAAGAATATCCAGAGGCCTCAAACATTGTAATTCTTCCTGCCAAAATTATCAGTCACACAATAAAACGTGCCTTGCCAAAGAAAGCTGAACGGACCTTATCTGTTCTTCGTGCTCTGCAATACCAGGACGTGACACCAACACTTAAGTACAAAGGTGCGCCTAAAGAGATGCGAGTGCTTGTTCAACATGGGAGTGCTAGCCATTCTGCAGATATTAGTCAGAGATACAAAAACATGATGCGTTGCCAACGCACCTGTGCTGGCAAAAGCCCCAGCTATTCACAAAGACCTCGCTGAGATCAGTGTGAGGCAGCGATAAAAGCATGCCCTTGGCAGGGCAGAGGCCGCGCAGGGCTGGCCGCACCGGTGAGCACAGACTGCCCGAAGCCCCACGAGCCCGGGACCTACGCGGGGAACGTGCTGTGTGCCTCCACCAGCCCAGGGAAAAGCAGAGTCAGGGACCTATGCGGGGAATGTGTTGTGTGCCTCCACCAGCCCAGGGAAAAGCAGAGTCAGGGACCTATGCGGGGAATGTGTTGTGTGCCTCCACCAGCCCAGGGAAAAGCAGAGTCAATTCAAACAAAAGCCAGCTCCTGGAAGGGCAAATTATTGCCTCCTCCTGGAAAGCACTTCACAGAGCAGTTTGCCATACCACCTTCTCAAGGAACCTTTATAAGGGTCGAATCTTGCCCTTCCCCAGTAATTCAGTGCAGGAACAATGGTTTTAGCAGTGTATTTGGAGGCAATGTGAGCTGTGCCTGGCTTTGAAGCAGAATAGGAGCATGACTGTCAGGTCAGTGCACCCCAGACCTGCCATCCCTTCACCCTGCCACCACCTGTAATCACATCACGCTGTCCGCAGGAACTGTAATTCTCAATGCTGTCCTCTAACCCTGATGTTTTCCCTGAAGATTAAAAAAAACATTTACCAGAACCCAGGAATCCCCAGTTCATTTTTGCTTTTAAATCTTGATGATGCAGAGGAATGTGCTAACCAAAAATACAGACCAGAGACTAAAACATTGTCTGCCAGACTCCTGTTCCTATCAC